GTTGAGCTAAACTAAATTATTGTATGGCTAATGTTTTTTTCATAAATGTTTTTTCATAAATGTTTTTTTTTTATTCAAACACTGTTTTCTCTGCTTCTGGTCCACATACCTATCTTTTTTCAGTAATTGGACCTCAACTTAAGTGAATTGAGATCTAGAGTCTTGCTTTTGAAATTGAAGAAAGTCTAAATATACCAATGTTTCACTAAAAGCTACATTTAATTAATATCAAAATGAACACATGAATAGGGAGTAGCTTCTTTGTCCCATCTTTTATCTTGCCATCAAAAGCTGAGGTTGTCTAATTTAGAAGACGGATTTAAAGCTTTTTTTTTCCTGTTTTAATTCATCATGGGAAGAGAACCCACTTTGAGGAAGCTTATTACATAGTAGTATAATCTGCTCTAATCTATGTTAATGTTAAACAGATTGTACAATGTAATGAACGATAATCTTATCAAAGCCTAGATGAAAAATAACTTGGGGTGTGCAAATAGTACTTTAATTCCAGTGTTATATAGCCATATTGGACAAGATCAGTACGGTACTATTTCAGCCTGATGCACATATAAGCAGTTCATTCCAATGTTGAAACCAATGAGACAGGCAAGACACCTATATTGGTTTTCCTTAAATATAGATTTTTTTTTCATTCTTTGTTAAATATTCCCTATCTTCCAGTCATAAAAGTGCTTCTTACACTAGCAGTTGAACAGTAGTTTTCTATTTTGTGTAACAGAAAAAAAGGTAATGACCCTTTCCTTCTCACAGAGATAAAGTAATTCCAACAAAGTCCAACAAGGATCTCCTGAATCTTTCTGTTCCACAACACAAAAAGATGGGCCTGCCACTTCGTAATGATATCTTGAATATTTTCTTAGAAAATTTTAGGCCTATTTGTACCAAGTGACTTCTGTTGAGATACCACAGGCTACCTGAGTTTTACAGCCAACCTTTTCAGTTCCTTTATTACTACAGTGCCTCTATCTTGTGATGGATTTTTTTACCCGGATAATAGACCATGCCACAAAGTTTAAATCATTCCATCCAGTCTAAAATTTAATACCTGTCCAAATAAGAAGGAATCTTGATTTCTTTCTCCATGGTATTATATATTGTATTTCTTGGCATTCATGTGTTTTATTGGCCATTTAAGAGTGTATATTCCTTATTATACTGCCATATTGTATTATATTATATAATTATATTATAACGAATTGTGTTGCTTGATATTACCCGCTTATTCAAAATGTTCTCTTTTCAATTAGGTAAACTATACATTGTGTTTTGGGGTTGTCTTGTGACATGTCAATCCCCTGTCAACCTCTGGATGAACCAACCCAGCTGCTGCCCTTAGAGCACAATTTCCTGGAAGTGCTACCTCTGATAAGGTTCCTAGAAGCAGCCCATTGGCTTCATCGTTAACACCATTACCCTTGAATGATTGGAAAAGTCCCATAAAGGCACTGCTGTTGGTCCACATACACACACTCACAGAGATGAGCTGTTGTGTGTTCTGACTTAGACTCTATTCCACCACTGGTGATTATCTTATAAATCAATACTGTGGGCCAGCTGGCCAGTGTTTTTGTGTATTAGCCTCAGAATACAGACAGTAATTTGGTCAGCATAGACTAGACAAACAGATTAATACATTAAGGAGGTCACAATGGCCTCACTTGGCTTCTTGTTAGTCACGACAGGGTTTCTATAAAAGCGAAAGGTTCAGGTTGTGTTTTGGGGCCAGTGAGTCTGCATGGTCTAAATGACGTCAAGACTATGCATTCAAGTGACTGGAATTGTTATTGTTAATTTGTCTTGCTGTATAATGATAACATTTTATCTACTAAGGTTTAAGTAATTACATTTAAAGCTTATATAATAGGCAAGTTCACTTAAGATTAATTGAAGAATATTTGAAAAATGGTAAAATTATTATATTCATTTTAAGAACAGGGATGTCACAAGTTCAGAAAAAATAAAATCTTTCTTTCTCATCTGTAAACTCTTCTACATGTTTCAAAGCTTTGATAGAGTGCCTCCAATGAAAACAATTGTTTGAATACAAAGCATAGCTTAATGAAATCTGTCTCTTGATGAGCAAATAATTTATTATTGGGTATGGGCATGTATATTGGTTATGGATCTGTGGTGTTCAGGGAAATGTATGAACTATAACAGTATGCATCTTTCGTGGCTCACAAGTAAAGGGGTTGTCCTGTTACTAGTGGGTTCTTGGTTCTAAATCCTTCTGTGATGTGTAGCTTACCACAGTCAACATATGATTGTTGTCTCAAACTGGAAGCCTTCATGGAGCCTGCTCGTCTTATTGATAGACTATTCCTCCATAGATTTGTGTCCATGTTCACTTCTTCACCATTAGACGATTTAGCTCATTATCACTTTATATGAACAATGTCTTTCTTTCTTTTTTCTTTCCCATGCCATAAACCTCCATCTCTGTTTTGCCTCCTATGCCCCCCCCCCCCCCCCCCCCGCATCTCCCTGCCTCATCTCCTTAACCACAATTTGCTTCCCTGTTTATTCAGGGGAGACTGGCTTGCGTTACTCTTTAAACATAAACATGGCGGTGATCGCTTTGTCTGTTTTTAACATGTGCAGCCATGCAATCAAGCGCATATGCCCATATGGGGTTTTTCTAAGAAACTGATGGTGGTAAGTCTATGCAGTTTTGTGGTCTTTCTCTCTTTTGCCCTTTGTAGTGGGGGTCATTTCTCATATTTGTCTATTCTTTGTGCGTACAAGGGCCCAATGTCTGGGATTTTTGTGATGCCTTTGTCTGTGGTGTACCTCCCGTTGACATGAGGTGGCAAGTTTCCTGCTGTTGTTTTCCTGCAGCCGTTACCCACATGGGTGAGGAGGGGGGGGTGTTCT